CAAGGGAGTGGGCCCTCTCATAATTCTGCCCAAAAACCCTGCCATGAATAAAGAATGGTATCAAAACGTCCAGCAAGAGCGACTTCTTCCAACGTTCCATGAGCAATTTGGTGATGATCCGTGCATTTTCCAGCATGATGGAGCACCATGTCACAAAGCAAGAGTGATAAAGAAGTGGCTCGAAGATCATTACATTGAAATTTTGGATTTGTGGCCAGGCAACTCCCCGGATCTCAATCCCATACAGAACCTATGGTCAGTCCTCAAAAGGCAAGTGGACAAGCAGAAGCCCACATATTGTGATCAACTTCGAGAACTAATAAGGCAAGAATGGATCGCCATCAGTCAGGATTTGGCCCAGAAGCTAATATCCAGTTGTTATCAATGTTGACCTCCAAAGAAACACGTGCAGTCGTCATCGATTTGCATCAAAATGGCCTCACGCAAGGAAATTGCTACAAAGAATATTGCACCTGAAAGAACCATTTACCAGATCATCAAGAACAGCAGCAAACTTTGCAAAACACAAAATTTATGTCACTGCCAAAACCTTTGGCCATGACTGTACAGTACATTTGAGGTATGCATTTAACAGTAAAGGCTACATCACCCCTGTGACCCTACAGCAGATATGTGGTTTGGAGAATTATTGAATATCTTTACCAGTAAACCTAAAGGAACACCATTTGTGATTCTGAAGTTTAGCACAAACAATCCACATACAGTAGTTTGTGTGTCAATGTAGATTCAACAAAGCTCTTACACTATGCAAACATTTTGTTGTATCAAAACTCAAATGGAAAGCATTTCTTGTCAGTCCAGTTAGACTACACGTATAATAGCTGAAGACAATGCTGCTTTGCTTGGTGAATCAACTCTTGAATAGTTTCTACATTTAAAAGAGAACAAAACAATTGTCGTGCTACTAAATATACTGTTCACTTAAAGTGAAATGTAATGTCAGGGACAAAGACAAGGCAATGCACTTTCAAAGACGGACTATAGTGAAAAGAAAAGTCATGTACTAAGTTACATGAAAACAATATGCAACTCTACAAAGCAGCTGATGAAAACAGGAACACTTGTTTCCTCCTCTCAGTAGGAGATTCCTTCTCACACTTTCTTTCACACTTCCTGTTCTGAGTTGCCAAAGCACGAAACAGAAATGGTCAAGTTAAACAGACAGATCAAGATAAAAAAAAATAGTAACTTTACTGTACCTTTAAACAGGCAAGCCGCTGATGTTACTTCATAAAGTCCATCCATGAAGCGACGATCTCTTGTTGAAAAGTACTGTTAAGAGTGAAACTTTCCACAATTTGACACGGAGTGCAGACAATTTCAGCAAGCAGTAACTGAGACTGAAGTTTAACTGAACGTCCAGAAGATTGTGAAACTGAAGCTGAACGCGATATGGATTGATGACTACAGAAAGCTGCCGACAACTTTGAGCAAACACTGCTTCTGCGCGCTCACAGGGAGGGACTCGAGTCCACGTGGACCTGCATCCGTCTGTTTCTATAGCAACAGAAGAACGCACGCGGAAGTCTAACGCTTATGAGTCATATAGATCAGTGTCTTATACATAAAATGACTACTACTAATAATAATAATAATAACTTGCCATCTGCTTGTTTTTAGTATTTTAGTTTAAAAGAAGTAGGAAGTCACACTCACACACACACACACACACACACACACATTCTAATATACACTGCCGTTCAAAAGTTTGAGATCAGTAAGATTTTTAATGTGTTTTTAATGGAGTCTCTTATGCTCATCAAGGCTGTATGTATTTGATCAAAAATACAGAAAAAAAACGTAATATTGTGAAATCTTATTGCAATTTCTAATTTGGTTTCCTTTTTTAATATAAGCCTACACTAGTCAACATTTGAAGTGGATCAAACCCTTTCATCAAAGTTGTCCTAAAACCTAAAACCAAAATGCGTTCTTGTCTTAGGACAACTTTGATTGACTTTATTGATCCACTTCAAAGCAGCGCTGAAGTTTCATCAGCCATTTGGCTACTCCAGTCTTCAGTGTCACATGATCCTTCAGAAATCATTTTAATATGTTGATTTATTATCAGTGTTGCAACTGTTGTGCTGCTTAATATTTTTTGGAACGTGATACTTTTTTCTTTGATTATTTGATAATAAAAAGTGAAAAAGAACAGAATTTATTCAAAAAAGAAAACTTTTCTAACAATATAAGTCATTACTTTTTATTCATTTAGCACATCCTTGCTGAATAAAAGTATTAATTTCTTTAAAAAAAAGTTTTTTTTTTTTTTACATTTTATTTATCAAAGAATCCTGAAAAAAGTATCACTGCAGGTCCCAAAAAAATATTAAGCAGCACAACTGTTTCCAACATTGATTATAAATATTAGCATATTAGAATGATTTCTGAAGGATCATGTGACACTGAAGACTGGAGTAATGATGCTGACTTTATTGATCCACTTCAAAGCAGCGCTGAAGTTTCATCAGCCATTTGGCTACTCCAGTCTTCAGTGTCACATGATCCTTCAGAAATCATTTTAATATGTTGATTT